TCTTTTTTCGCCGACCTCTTACGACCGGTGGATAGTGCCAGACGTATTGTGATTATTTGTGAACTGTACTGATTTCAACTTTATATACGTTAAGTTCCTTTTAATTTTCAATTTACTTTCTGTTAATATTACTGACTTTTTTGCCAAAAGTTTGATTTTTTTCTTTTCCTTCCCCTCGTTTTTACTTTACCCTTTGTTTCTTATTTTTTATTTTCATTTTCGTTTATAATTATTTTTTGAATATATTTTTTTCATTTTAATTTCCTTTTAATTTCTAGTAACTTCCCCATGCCAAGTTTTATTTTTCATTGTTTATTTTTTCCCTATGTCAGACTTTGTTTTCTTTGTTTACATTTTATTTCTATGTGTTTCATTGTTCTTTGTCATAAATAACTGTTAAATATTCTGTGTTCCTTTATTTAAATCTTTTCTGTGTTTATTGTAACTTTTCGTATTTATTTTTCTATTCGTTAGTTCTTTATTTTAGTTTACGTGTTTTGTTCATGTTTGGGCTGAATAGAATTTTCTAGTGGCAGTCATATTGTTTTTGTGAACTCGTTTGGCATTTTTCGTTTTGTATTTTCTGTTGTATTATTGTAAAAAAAAAAAAGGTACTTTTTGTTTATTTTCTGTCTTAAATTGTGTTTTTTCCTTCGCATACTCACATTTTGTGATTTGTAATTGTTAACTGTTTTTATTTTCACCGTATTTTGTCCTTTTTGCATATGTATTCCTTTTAAGTAATTCATTCTTGCATGTTTTTGTGTTGTCTCATAAAATTTCTTTTTTATCTGTGATTTATTCGTAATTGTCTTTTGTTTAATTCTTTCTTAATATATTCTGGGGGGGGGGGGGATAAATTTTGTTTTAAAGGAAAAATGGGAGCTAAAAAATCGGCAAAGAAAAATCTTTTTGGGACTACTAAAAAAAAGAAAGACCTTCCCGATAAGGATTTAATGGATACTCAAGAGAGCCAAAGAACAGATGCAAATTCCAACAAAAGTATGGTGTCTCCTAATGCTAAAACTTTGGAAGATATCAACAAAAGTCAAGGAAAAAGTATGGTGGCCGCTAATGGCCAAAATGCAGTTACTGAAACCAGTGTTCCAGACCAGACTATTGTGGCCGAAAGTTGCCAAAATGCTGAAAGTAAAACCAGCCAACAAGACAATAGTATGGTGGCCGAAAGTAGCCAAATATCATCTATTCAGACCCCTCAAAATAATAACGGAAACATAGCGGCTGGAGAAACGCCCTCTTGCTGGAAGTCCCTGCCCAAGTGTAAGATCAACATGACGGAGTTCCTGGAGAAAGCCAAGAGCTACACACATCTGGTAACAGCAGATGGGCTCTTGTCCAATCCCATGGAACTTAAGAAGGTTGAAAAAAGAATTGTGCCAGTCTATGTAGTGGACAAGCATTCGCACAAGATTTGTTGCTCCACAAAAGACACTGTCATCAAAGCCTTGACTTCTCTGGGCATTAAAGCTCAGAGAGTCATTAAAGGGAAAGGCTTTTTTATGTGGGACGTACTGTTACCCACGCCTGCCGACTGTGAAGCTACAACTACTCATCACTAAAGACCTTATTTTGCGGACCGAGTACGAAGGCAGGCGGAGCCTTCCTCGGACGATCTGACCAGGGTGTGGAGTTTTGAGTTAATGTTCGGCAGGAAGGCCTTCATCTCCATCTCCAACTGCCTAGATGTAGAGGGCCAGAAGATGCCAATAATAGTAACAGGGCGAAAATCGGCATGCTGGAAATGTGGAAAGACTGGTCACCTGTCCTCTTCCTGCACAGAGAAGAAGGCCTCTGATGTTCTGGCCCCCGCCCAACCAAACACCCCTTTGGTCGAGTCTGTTCCATCTGTCTCACCTGTAGTGGGCATGCCAGCGACGAGGACCAGTGTGGAAAATCCCCCAGTTGGGTCCAAATCCCGAAAAGCCTTTGCCCGCCACTAGTATAGTTAGGGAGAAGGGAAATGGCAGGTCGTTGGCAAAGCAAAAGGGAAAACCCAGGCAGTGGGACCTAGTTCCACACCAAAAACAGCTCAGGGCACAAACAGCCCCACTCCCTCAACCAGTGCTAAGGGCAATTCTCCGGCCAGAAATTCAGGAAGAAAATGATTCAGTACGAACCTTCATTTGAGAGAAAGGAAAAACTTCAACTATTAAAAGAGTCTCTGAAATCCAAATGTCAGGATGGTGAAAAGAAATCTGGCATCTCTATTTCGGCACCGTCTTCCCCTGTTACTAAACATTATCCTATGGTCCCTCCTCCTATTGTCAAACCTTTAACCCAAGTTTCATGTAAAATGATCACACTCCAGAAGACAAAAGCATCACCCAGAAAACCATCTCCCATTCCATCACCCAATCCTTCCCCTAAGCAAACACCCATCAATTCACCAAGGAAAGAACGGCAAAGAAGCCCTTCCTCCAACTCATTCGAGCCCACTATGGAGAAAAAAATGAAATCTAAACCAATATACAACACAGGGGAAGGCGTGTGCCGCATCGCCAAAGAAATAGAGGAGAAGGCTTTATTACATGCCAAGAAACTTGAAAATTTAAAAACTCTTTTAAATTTTAGGAAATTAAAAAACTTAGATGTAGAGAACCCCCGAAACTTTCCCAACACGAAAAGGGTCCTCACAACAAATATGGGCCATGATGGCTGAGGCAAATGAAACATTTGGCATGTTTCCTCCAATGTCATGCTTTGATGACGAAAATGTAAAAAAAAACAATTTTGTTCAAGGAGGTTCCCAATTTTTGTTTACACCTCCCTTTATAGAGCTTTAAAGCTAACATTTTCCCTGGACATTGACGACCTGTCTTCTGATGGCACCATCAAGAGTGAGATGGGTAATAGCTCAATGAGAGAGGACGTCGGCGTCCTATCCTCGGCCATGTTCAATGCAGGAGAGCAACCCTAATCGGTTTCATCATGGCCTTCTGGTTAGCAAGTGTGAATGCCCGAGGCCTGAGGTCGTAGTCTTGTAGGGCGAGGCTCTGTCATGACCTTCAGCGTCTCGGGGTGAATATATGTTGTGTGCAAGAGACCTGGTTTTCTTCTCGCAACTCTGAGGGCATTCTGTCTAGGGGTTTTTCCCTCTATTCAGCATGTTTTGATGGACACTCGAGGGGTGTCTCTTGGCTGGTGAGCAAGTCCTTGAAGGCTGCATGTGTTCTTGTCTTTGTGGATCTGGCAGGCAGACTTTGCGTGCTGGATGTTACCATAAAGGATAAGGCTCTTTGTCTCATTGGGGTTTATGCGCCCAATGTCCATTCTGAGCAGCCTGCTTTGTTTCAGCAGATCAAGCCGTTTTTAATGACATCACATCGGGTAGTTTTAGTCGGTGATTGGAATGCCATCCTTGATCCCGATATAGATCGTATAGGGACAAATTCGGGTACTAACAACTGGGATGTGAAACCATTTTGGGACTTTATCGACAGGTTTGATCTTGTCGAAAAGTACCGGAATGAATGCCCTCAGGAGGTAGTATGAACTTGGACTAATAGTGGTGGCTTGGCTAGTTATCTAGACCAAGTCTTAGTTAGGATAGTCGATGTAGGGCTCTTAGGGTGTCCAAGTTTCCATGAGATAGTTTATTCGGATCATAGGCTTGTCTGGGTCTGTGTAAACTTAGATAAGCCTAAGGTTAGGATGGCTGGCTACTGGAAATTAAACTCATCATTATTTGGTGAGCAAGATTTCCGGGACCAGCTACTACTAATGATACAGAGGGAACTGACGGGAGCAGTTGTGGGAAATGCCTGGTGGGATAATTTAAAATCCAAAATCGGAATGTTTGCTGCTGATTATAGTGGTCGGCATGGCTTTAGAGCAGAAAGTTGATCAGGCGGTCAAATCCCGTGATAGTGGGGACGTAGCTTTAGCTAAGGCAGAGTTGGCCTCCTTGCTTATCAAGAAGGATGAAGCTCTGGTAGTTAGGGCTAGGTTAAAAATCATTATCTTCTGTCTTCTTAATTCCTGTTCTTTTATAGCTCTTTCTCCTTAATAATGTTTTTCTTTTTCTCATATTCTTTCATGCTCAGTAATCTCTTGAGTCTTAGTGGCTTTATTGCCTTACTTGAGTGAAATGATTAAAAGATAAAGAAAGGGGCTCATCAATCCATAATGTAGCTGAAATCAAATATAATAAAAATGTATGTTATTTAATGTTTTTGTATATTTTAAATATAGAATGAAATCAAAATGATGTAATAGAAAATATATGAAGCAACAGCAGTCTCTTTTTTTTTTTTTTTTTTTTTCTAAGTGTTTAACTGTGAATTACATCTGAGTACATAGTCAAGGGTGATAACAAAGAGAAAAAGTGCAAGGGTGTCACCTTGGAGGACTCCTGCTTTGATGTAAAAAAAATCAGTGTCTCCATCTGGGGATCTCTAAATTTTAAATAGAGTATATCTGTGAAAAGACATTATGAATAAAGACAAAAGAAAAACCTCTCTTAGCTGATGCATTTCATCCTCTGGACAACTTTATCAAGGCAAAATAAATTTGCCTTGATAAAGTCCCTGATGAAATATATCAGCTAAAATAAATTTTCCTTTTGTCTTTATTCATATATAATCATAAATCAACTACTGATAACTTCAAATAATTGTAGCTTACAAGGAAATATGAGAGGGTGCTGAAAAGAGCCCCTCTAAAAAAAAAAAAAAAAAAAAAATCTGATGTGTGATTATTTGGTCAGCTTATGAAAAGAGGGTCAGTCTGAGAACTTTTCAGCCTGCTCTGATTGTGCACTCTCTTGCACAATCATATTCATTTAAGAAAAATCACTCAACTGTTATAAGAAGTACTTAGAGAAAGTATTGAAAATAATCAGTTTTTTGATTGGAATGAAAATACTTCTTATACTTTTTTCTTCAGCAATATCAATCTTTGAATTTTGTTTAACATTAGAAATTTTTTGTAAAACTACATGATGATTTCCAGACATATGCATTATTTTCTTTTGATTCCAGGTCCTCCAAATCCTGATAATCTTCCAGAGGATGGTAAACTAAAAACAGAAACAATGGTTAAAGATAACAGGCGCTATTACTTAGACTTGAAAGAAAACCAGCGTGGACGGTTCTTAAGGGTGAGTTTTCTATTACACACTATTGTTTTCTATATCATTTCTTTTTTATGTTTTTTTTACAGGTATTAATAAGAAAGCAATCACCTGTAAGGACTGTCATTTAAGACAATATATTTATGTTACTGTTTACATTGATGATTTCAAGAGAAAAATAACCCTTTGAATAACTTCAGTTTCCATAGCCTATCTTGTCAACTCAGGTCATAAGCTAAGAATAATAATTGGAATAAACATCAAATTATCAATGACCATCAAAATGGAGATCTGTGTTATTTCTGAAAGGAAAAATTTGGTTTCCACTTGTGCTTACAGATTATTTCAGACCTGGTTTTAGATTTGCTATGGATATGTAGAATCAGTTAATGGTTGTTGTCCTTCGTCTTTGCTGTGTGACCAATCATCTCCTTATTCCAATGTATTTATCATTACATCAACTAAAAGATTTGGGCAGATGCCATCAGCATTAAATCATTATTGCAATGGTTTGATATGAGTGAAAACCCTCTTGAAAGAAAATTGATGTTAATTTTTTTTCATTGCTTTTTCAAATATCAAGTGGTCTGTCCCTGTTGTCATTGCAATGATATGCATATTTAGAAATGGCTGCTTGACATCATTTCATTATTGATTTTTCTCTACACAGGAAAGTCTATTTGAGCAAAAAAATAATTTGCATGCAGGTTACTAAAAAGCAAAAATTTGAATCTTAAAATGTTTCTTACAATTCGGGTTTTCATTTTGTTAAAACAAACCTAAAGGTAAATACTCTCATTGTTTATGTTTCTTTATTTGAATTAAAATATAAATCTTAAACTTTATTCTATAAAAGTGTAGACTTATGAAGAAATTGTTGTAATTATAATTATCAGTGCTGGGCTGATGAAGTTTGTTATCTCATGGTTTTCAAATGAATGCCAGGGATTCTTTCTCTTAGTGACAAATCATGTAAAATCTAATACTCAGCTAGTATGGCAAACAATAATGATGAATATTATGTTATCAAAGGAGGCAAATTTAACTATACCTTTATACTGAATTGATTTTAAAATTGTATTTTATTTACATTCTACTTCTGCTTTTTGTTATTCTAGTATTCTCACTTTGCCAAATCTGACCAAGTGTCAGATGTGGTGGTAGTTGGTGGCTTCTTGGTCATGTTAAGAACTTTTCAGCACTTTCTTGTATGTTAGAAAAATAATGTTTTTGAAAATGGATTTCATATATGTTTGTCTGTTTCTTTGTTAAGTATTTGAAAGTTCTTATTAAATTCTTATTAGAGTTTAATAAAATGTGGCATGATTAGGTTGAACATATTAAATTTATAACTTAGAAATTAACTTCTTCATTTACTAAAATTTAAAGGCTTTTAAAAGAAGTTTTTGAAAATTAGTTTATCTTAACAATAAGAACAATAATTTTTTTGAGAAAACTCTTAAAGTTGTTGGTATAACTGACCTATTTACAAACTGTGCAAATACCTTTGGTTTCATGATACAATTTTTTCTTTTGAAAAATAGGAAGCCTTAAATTTTGGTATTCAACTTATAAGCTTTCTGCGGCCTACACTTGAATGCTCTACTTGATTTAAACCCACATAGTCATGGGAAAAAGTGTCAATGATCTTTGGTTTGTTAGTTTCTGGAATGTCAGAGCAAATTAAATGTATAAACATCAAAGTATACCATAATCATATTTTGTTTCATACAATTACTTTGAAACATTTTTTGCCTCTTGAAAGATGCTTTTGATGAATATGATCATTTACTGGCTTTTTTCCCCTGTAGTAAATTGAAGAACTTTAATTCTGATAACTAGAATAGCCAAAAATATTTGGACATTTGTAATCCTGCCTGTGACTTCAAGACTTATCAGATTAAGTTTGCCTACAACTGTGTTTTTTTATTCTATCTGGGGAAACTTTGCTGACATAGGTTAGAAGATATTCTTTTAACAATAGTTTTACAAGTAGCTATTAAATGAATTTGACAACACCTTGAGGAAATTATGTCAAAACAATTGGAAATGATGTAACATGGAAAAATCAGCATAAAAGAAAATCCCATTTGTTTTATGCTACAAGTAAAAAATTATATTTCACTTGTAGCATTTTTTCCCTTAAATATTTAAACTCATCTGGACAAAAATCCTTTAAAATTGATATGTGAAAAGAGGCTTAAGAGATTTTGTAAGAAAAACTCTAGAACCTCAAAATCTTTTACATAATACTTTATTCAATGATTGTCTATTCTACATCATAACCTATTAAACAAAATGTGAATAGCAGTCATCCTAATAATGATTCCAAGATTCTGTTCATGTTTTTTAACAAGAAAGTAGAAATTTCAACTGGTTTTAATATGGATTAATTGCCAATATTTTAATGAATATTTTGATTAAGAAACTCTATATAAATAGAAACTCATTTATTATGTAAACAAATTCAATAATATCATATAGGAATGTTAAACAATACTTATTATAATCATCTACTACAGGTATCTCAAACAATTCCTAGAGGTGGTCCCAGAACGCACATTGCTATCCCTGCCCAAGGAATGATTGAATTTAGAGATGCCCTCACAGATTTACTGGATGAATTTGGAATTGAAGATCATGGTAAGTCCAAATATTATTATCATTATCATCTTTTGTATTGTGTTTAGTACAATTCCTTACCTGCTTATTAACCAAGACCAAAGGCAAGGCAAGTAGTAAATACATGCATTCTGTCTGCATAGATTCTAAAGTTCAGGGTGATTTTCATACCATTTTTCAGCCTGTGGCATACTGTAATATTGACATGTAATATATTCCAATGAATATACCGTACAATCTTATGTTGATCTTTGTAGACCTTTGGTGTCAGGTCAATAGTCTCAACATGTTGTTCACATAATCTACCTATTGGGTTGACATTATTGCTTGTGTGTGTGCTTGTCTGGTAATTACTGTTGAATAGGCTTTGGTTCTGTGCAGCTATTATGAATACCTCCATCTCTGCTTTTAGGCCTACACTCTTTAGCCACTGTTAGATTTTATGTTTATTGATATTGGCAGCATTACTTATAGGTTTTGAGATGGGTTTTTTTCTTAAATTATCATTATTGTTGCTTTCATCAGTGATGATAATTGTACTCTTTTTTGCATCTTTTATGTTTTTACAGATTCATAAATTGTATTCATAATTTTTTTTAAAGATTCATAAATTACATTTTCAAATTCTACTAGTTCTCAATTAAAAGCAGAAACATTTCTGTTCAAAGCATTTAAGTATCACTCAATAGCAAATATCAATAATATATACATTTTATTTTATGCTCTTAATAATAGCAATGTTTACTGCTTGTAAAACTGGACACAGAAAATTTATTAATCAGTATACTTGTCAGTGAAACAACATACATTATAATAAACAAAATCTATAAACAACCATCAATTCCACCTTCAAAAATAAAAAAACACCGACTCTCAAGAAACTTCTACTAGATAAGTTCTTTTTACAAGCACTTAGGAAACTGATACATACAAACTGATGGTGCCATTATGGGTTTACCTATCATTCCAAAACTATCAGAATTCTACATGTCAACCTGAGGAAACAAAATTGAAAAAATATAAAAATTCCCTAAACCAACAATTTATACCCACTATGTTAACAATATAGTTGTATTAACTAAAAATAGGATTGAAGTAAAAAATCTGAGAAGAATCCTTGAAAATAATTCCATTCTTAACTTCCTATATGAACTCAACATCAATAACAGTATCTCCAGTTTAGATATACTAATCAATTTAAATACTGATCCCTTTAAAACTTGTTTATTAAAAAAAAAATACAAGCACCTGAAATCCATGCTCACACAGATACAATATAACCATCATAAATAACTTAATAGAGCACATTTATTGTATGCTACACATGCAATATTTTATCACAAATTCAAAAATATAAAACAAACATTAATAAACAAAATATAATTCTTGGGAGATGGAATATTAGAACATTAAACTACTGTGGACAGTTAGAAAATATGGGCAGGTTAAATATCAATATTTTAAGTTTATGTGAAATCTGTCAGTGAGGCGATTCTGAGAGAACTAGAAGCCCTACCAGGATTCACTATTGGCAGTCACAATCTTATCAAAATAAGATATGCAGATGACACAGTGTTAATAGCAAACACAGAAAGAAAACTGTAAAAATTTCTACAGAAGGTAGTGAAGGAAAGCAAGAAGAAAGAATTAAACATCAACTGCAAGAATACAGAATGCATGTTTGATAGCAAAAGGTGGAGCCCAAAGTGCGAATTACTAATCAAAGATACCAAAATCAAACAAGTGCAGAAATTTAAATGTCTGGGAAGTGTTTTAACGAAGTACAGAAAGTGTGATACTGAAATCCAAAGGTGTATTGGGGTAGCCAAAGATGCATTCTAAAAGATAAGCAGAGTGCTAAGAAATGGAAAAAACTTTGATGGAGACAAGGAAAATAGTACTAAATTGTAATGTGATATCTGTCTTCCTGTATGTCAGTAGTGCTGAACAATCTCTTCAAGAAGAGACTTGAAGCAACAGAAATGCGGTAATACAGAAGAATGCTGAGGAATGACAAAGTTTTAGAGGAATTGGAAACAAAATGGAAATTTATACTTAACACCAAGAAGAGACAACTGAAATTTCTAGGGAACATAATGAGGAAAGAGGGCTTGGATACTCTGATACTCACAGGATAGATTGAAGGCAAGAGTGGCAGAGTGGAAAAAACAGCATACATAGTGAGCGTGAGTAAATGGATTGTGGAACAGGGTTTAGGAGAAATAACAGAAAGACAAAATTTATTAAGTGCTGCAAGAGACAGGCGATCATAGCACTTCAGATTTTTCTATGTTTTGAGGGGACATGGCATATGAAGAAGCACATAATTGATAAACAGATGAACCTTAGAAAAAAATAATAATACAAACAATATGAACAAAGAATACTCTATTAAACTAATCTACATAAAAAAAATACTCTATTAAACTAATCTACATAAATTATCTATAACATGAACAACAAAAGGGAAGAAAAAAATTATAAGCCTAATACATGAATAAATATTACCTATTATACTATTATATACTACAAATTTTGACAAAAACAAATTAAACTTATTAATTACTAAAAAAATAAACTATAAATGTCAAAATTTCACCAAACTAATATGTATGAATTTGCTTACATTCTTGAAGAATGTCTAATAATAATTCAAATAGCACATACATTGGTTACACAATCACTACATTATCACACCAATTAACTTGTCATTTTTTTGATAGTAGCTGAATTAAATCACATATCACCAAACAATAAAACAAAACACAAGAAATCCAACAAATATTTAATAACACATACATTATGCCACATTAATGTAAAAATGATTACGGACATGTGAAACCTTAACTATAAAATACAAACAACCCTACATCAATAAGATTTTATTCAATTTAGGAACATACTAAATATATTTGTTAATTCAAATTTAAAAAACAACTCTAAAAAACCACCAATGCCTGAAGATGCAAGACTTGTGTTTAGCATGAAACAGACTGTCACCTCTGGGTGTTGAATGCAATCCACTTTTATATTTACATATGCTCTATCCTTGATATTGAGCACTTTAACCAATAAATGTAGCATACCGTAAAACTATATTTTATCATTTCATATATATATATATATATATATATATATATTGATGAGCTATAAAATATAAGTTACATATAATTTCTAAGTACATGCTCTTTTAAAAAGTGGTCAGTTGTTGGTGTAAATAGAATTCTAATAAGTTAAACAAATTATATTTTTATTTATTATAGAATTCATATTTGAATAGTGTCTACTCTGATATGTTGCTTGGCAACTTCACTATAACTAAGTAAACACATGATATTTTTTCTGTTCAGAGGGAATATGTATATTTTGTGAAAATTTTTATTACATTTGAAAATTACAAACTCTTTTATTATCTTGGATGTGCTGGTGTTGTAATGGATAGTGGCTTGAAATGAGAAATTGAAGAGCCAAGTTTGAATTCCAGTTGGGTTTGGTACATTCACTTACACACAAATACCCTTGGGAAAGGTATGAATCTCTCTCCTCTCACCAGCTATGGGCTAAATAGTTGGACTTGTATCTAGAAAAATCATTGTTATTCTCAAAAAATTGTTAATACAAAAATTACAAAAAAAAAAAAAAAATTATTCTTAGAATCCCAAATGTTTCAGTTTTAAATAACCTACAAACGGTTGATAAGTCATAAAAAAAATAAAATAAAACAAAACAAATATTTTATTGTTAACATTTATAAATGTTTTCTATATGTTCTTATTCCAAGAAAGCAAAGTTGTCCTGACGATAAACTACATCCGCATCCTGGATAAGACATTAAACTACATCCAACAGCAAGGCCTTTGATTGGAGGTTTGAGGAGTGTGGAACAACCTCTTAATTGCTGGTGCTCCCAGGACCACCCTGACCTGGGGTGGTGGCACCTGTTAGGATCCCAGCTATAGGCAAATAGTTGACCCCCAAACAGGGGTCAAAAGTGTAAAGATGTAAAAATACATTTTTGAGGTAAAAATTATTACCAGAAATATATTTTCAAGAAAAAAAATGTTTTACTAGCAATACTTTGAAGGAAAAATTATTAACAGCAATACATTGTTGAGGAAAAAAAAATATTACCAGCAACACATTTTTGAAGAAAAAGTTATTACCAGCAATATAGTTTTGAAGGAAAAATTATTATCAGAGAGATACAATTTTGAAGAAAAAAATTATTACCAGCAATACATTTTTAAAAGGAAAATTATTACAAACAAAATATTACCAGCAATACACTTCTTTGAAAAAAATATAAGCTATACATTTTTTGAAAAATATTACTAGCTATACGTTTTGGGAAAAATATTATCTGCAATAGATTTTTGAAAAAAAAAAAAAAATTTACCTAAAATAGATTTTTGGAGAAAAAAAAGATTTTTGAAGAAGAAATATTACCAGAAATAGACTTTTGAAGGAAAATACATTACTAGCAATATATTTTTTGAAAAAAATATTACCAGCAATAAAAATTTTGTCAGCATTAAATGATCCATTGAGGTTGATATGCCGTAAAACCAAACCCAACCAAAAAAGCAAAGAAATGCCGATTAAAATAGCATTTATTTTAGTAATGAGTAATATGGTATACATAGTACTTCTTTAAAAATGAACCCGTCCTTCATTAATGAATTTTCTTTTGTTTGTTATTAAATAATATTGCTTCTGGTAAATTTTAACTTTGTTAGTTCTAATCATTTTGTAATGGTAGTTATACAAACAGATGCTGTCTTCTGCACAAGTGATCGAAGCTTTAATAGTGACCATTTGGAAGAATGAAAACTAACATTTTTCTTACTTTTTCAAAAACAAAAACAATTGTTTAGAGAAATGCTCTAAATTATTTGAAGCATTTTCATTCTCATTTGCTGTTTTTCATTTGTTCAGTAAAGAATATTTACAAGATGCAAGCGAAATTTGTTAAACATTTAATGACACAGTTAAAAAAATATAATTGTAGCAGAACATGTGTT